CACATCCCTCACAACATGCACATCTTTCACAATATGCACATCTTTAACAACATGCACATCCCTCACAACATGCACATCTTTCACAATATGCACATGTCTCACAATAAGCACATCTATCTGTGTAGTTCATGCCTAGGGTTGCACGTTTCTTGACTGAACTACCATACATATGTGAGACAGTCAAAGCAAGGTAAAATCTACATTTCATGTTCATGTATAGTAATATTTAGGATAACTAAAAGTAAAGCGAGGCTGTGTAGCTGTGTGAAAAAATGTGACTCCAATTTCCTCCAACCAGCTTTACTTTCCCATATTCTTTTTGATATTGACTGGCTATAATACACAAATTATGGCTGTGAGGCTCATAACAGCCTTACTCACCCAGAATTGTTGTAAACTGCTGAACAATCAAGAATAAGCTTTGAATAGGGTACCGGGTTACAGATAGTATTCAAGGAAAGATAAACTCCCCAGCTTCCTGATATCACAAAGGCAATAATAGTCACCAAGAATAATAGCTGGTTGTGATGGCCAATACAGCAGTTAGTCCTGAAACATCAAATGATACATATCGAACCAGCAAATCAAGACTGAATAGAAGGGTTGTCTAGCTGTCCTAGACATAGGGTGCTGAATGGTGCTTATTGTTCATTTGAGGGTTCTAGGTGTGTGTGTGGGGGGGGATGTCAACTTACTGAGAGCACTGTAACCTAGATTGGTAGAAACTAAAGACCTAGAAATTGGTTTAATGTCTAATTTTTAACCTGGGAGGGGGGTCCTTTGGATAAGGAATATTTTCGGTTCAGTAATCTGACTTCTATCATTTAGCACTCAAAGGTAATTGGTACCTTTTAGGGATAAAAATCATTAGTTACCACGCCCAACTGGACAGGACGCAAGTACCTCTTAGGGTTCATTTTCAAAGTTTCTGACAAGCATTCTCCCTTCTAAATATAGAAGTCCCCCTCCCCCTGGAGGCTTGCATAATTACCTACCAAACACAGTGATGATCCGACCTTGGCACACAGTATCCACATATTCTAAAATAAACCAAAAAAGTTTAGGCTAAATTTGTTTAAATCTCTAGGGAAAAGGGAGAAATCCACTATTGTGAAACACTTTTTCACCCGGGGGGGGGGGGGGGCCTTCTTGAAAAGTGGGTAGCGGGCTCGACGGACCTCTTAGAATCGAAAATGAGACCTGGCGTACCTTTTAGGGTCTCCGGCTGACTTCCCGCTGACTCCATACCTTTTAGGGTCAGATTTGTTTGTTTTGAAAAATATCAAACGTCATACAAGAATCACTGTACAAGAATATAATGGTTGAAAACGTTGTCATTCTAAGTGTGGTCGTACCTTTTAGGGTCTGAAATCAGCATCTCAGTTA